TTCAAAGAGTTCTGAGAAATTGCTTGAATATCCTGGCATAGGTTAATGACCAGTCGTTTTTCTCCCCTTTCACAAAATAACTTAAGAGCAGTTCTTCTGTGGTGTCTTACGTAATTGCAGCCTTTCAGTGGCTGTACAGTGTCAGCAATAACTGGGAGGTTAGGTCAATCATGGAAATATTTAGATTGCCAGGATATTGCAGTGAATAACCTCGTTTAAAAATACTAATAATCAGCCTCAAATACTAATCAGATGCTCCGAAGATTTTAGGAAAGAAACTGCCCAGGAGACAGGCTTGTTTTAGCAGATGTTTCTGAGACCTTACTATATTTATGTATGGAGAAATTTGAAGTTGGTGTAACGTTCATCTGCCAAAGATCCAGGAGTTGCAGCTTTGTGTGTGAGCTCCGAGGCCGGTAAGGCGTTATAGCAGAGAAGTGCAGTTGAAGAGGATCGTATTGAGATTGTACTCTTATCTACTTGTACAGTAATTCCCTAATTCCTAGAGAAAGCTATTGAATTAAAATAAAATAAAAGTTCTCACTGTTGCTGAATGAAGTTTGAAGTAAGAGCACAGAACATACTTAATCCTCAGTTCTGTGCCCCTGGTGCCAGGTCTTTGAAGTCCTTCCTCTTCAGTTCAAAGAGAAAATGCATGTTTATTTTAGTAGGAAGTATTTGTATTAGTTCTTACTATTTGGCTTCATTTTGTGAATCCTGACCGGTTTTACAAGAAAATTATTTTGCTACCACTCTAAACAACTGTAGTTCTCTGCCAAGGAACATCTATGTTGATTGATTCAGCCTCCTAGGGCCCTCATATGAAAAACAGTTGGATTCTCTTCAGTATTTGTTTTGTTTCTTCTGCACGCTTTCCTTCCATCCTAACTTGACTTCCTGCTTCTTGATAGAAGCTTGTCTCAAGTAATGGCACTATACCCAATGCTAATGCTATTTTGCGAATCAGTACACAAGGCAATCAGCCACTCCTGTTCATCATGAACTAGGTTCACCACTACAGTTAGGGCTTGTCTACACTTATCGGGGGTTCGACGCGCGGTGATCAGTGCATCAGCGGTCGATCGACCGCCAATCACTCTCCTGTCAACTTCTGTACTCCACCTGAACGAGAAGCGCAAGGTGAGTCGACGGGATAGCGTCTCCAGTCGACATCGCGTAGTGTGGACCCCGCAGTAAGTAGATCTAAGTACGTTGACTTCAGCTGTGTTATTCACGTAGCTGAAGTTGCGTAACTTAATCAATCTCCTCCCCGTAGTGGAAACAAGGCCTTAGTTAGATATTTGCTTCCCACTCTGATGGTAATGTTATGGCACGTTGATCTGTAGCAGTCATAGCATAACTACTGAGTACGTATGCTATATGGATTCAAGAATATCTTTAGGGATCATTTTAATATTCTCTTCAGAGGTCGGCTCGGGAGAGAGTATAAAAGATTTATCTGGTAAAATTTATTTGCTGCAGATGTATCATAAAAGTGTTCAGTGATCACACAAGTGTTTAATTTGCTGTGGTTTCAATAGCAGATTTCGTCACAACTAGACAAACAGAAGTGGGTTTTAGCCCACGAAAGCTTATGCCCAAATAAATTTGTTCGTCTCTAAGGTGCCACAAGGACTCCTCGTTGTTTTTGCTGATACAGACTTAACATGGCTACCACTCTGAAAACTGCATATTAAGTATGGTCATTATTGTCTATGTAAATTTGTCAAACATAATTTTTTTGTCTGAACTGTGAGTGCTCAAGGCTGGATTAACCACTATGCAAATAGGTCAGTAAGTGCCTGTCACCCTGAGGGGATGAGGCCTTGTTTGCAACCATGCTGGCTCTGCATCTAGAAACGAGCTCTGCTTTTGGCAACCAGGCATCAAACCAGTAGACACAATACCCTGTGGGTTAGGAACAGAGAATTGGATGCTTCAGAGGCACAGGCTAGGGGGCTAGCTCTTGGATGGTTTAGGACACAAATTCGGAGGGGTCATCAGCTGACCAGTGGACTGGGTGACAGACGCCCATAGGGGAGCAAGGAGCCATGGGTTACAGAGAGCTTTAACACTTCATGCATGGCCAACACTTCTGAAAATCAGGCTCCTTAGTTACCTAGTGTGGAAAAAATTGTCTCAAGGATTAAGAATATTGGAATCAGCTATCACAAGCAGGTGTATTCCAGGGAAAAAATTATTTTACATGTAGGATTATTAGATTAGGCCAGGGATCGGCAACCTTTGGCACGCGGCCCATCAGGGAAAGCCCCTGACGGGACGGGACGGTTTGTTTACCTGCAACGTCCGCAGGTTCGGCCGATTGCAGCTCCCACTGGCAGCGGTTCGCCGTCCCAGGCCAAAGGGGGCTGCAGGACGCAGCAGCCAGCATATCCCTTGGCCCGCGCCGCTTCCCGCAGCCCATCCAAGAGCTAGCCCGTGCCTCTGAAGCCAACTGCAGCTCCCACTGGCCAAGGTTCGCCGCTCAAGGCCAGTGGGAGCTGCGATTGGCTGAACCCGCGTGCCAAAGGTTGCTGATCCCTGGGTTAGGCTGTTTATTTTGGGAATAGAACCTGGGCAAAGTTTTCAAAAGTGCCTAAGTCTTATTCTCAGAAGTGACAGGATCCTAAGTCCCTTTTCACTTTGAATGAGACTTGGACTCCTAAGTGAAAATGGAAAGAATTATCCCATGTAAATACTGTATTGTGTTCTGTTGGACTTGATTAAGTTTGCTTATTGTCTGGAAGACTTTGTAAGCACTGTTGGTTGAATTGCTTGGGTTCAAGGTGTCCACTACACATTCGGTCCATTTGGTTTGGTTTACCAAAGTTTGAACTTTGTTCCTTAAATGAATAATAGGTATTGTCTATAAATGAATATAGTCATAATGAGCCAACTTGTGCTGTTTTGTAGTCTTATTCCTATTGTAAATGATAGGGTTGCACATGTGTTGGAGGGATATGAGTTTGGCCCAGTCTCAGTAACTGTGCAGCTATGTGAAAACTGGGTTGTTGGCGTTACTTCAAGATATACCTACGGTAATACATAGATAATGAAATTAAAACAATATTGTTGAGTATTGTAGTTTTTTAATTATAGTTGTTGTAAAGCTGTGTGGTTTTTTTTTTTTAAATCCAAAATTGTAATTTTTCATTATTTTTCATACGAGTATTTTGTCAAATTAATTTTTCATTGGATATTAGTGAACCTTTTTTGTCTGAGAGCAATATTATAGGCAAGGGTCTTAGAATATATGCTTAAATAGAAAAATCAAAACCTTAATTTTGCATAAGATATTGCAGCATTACTAGCATGTGAGAGATCTTGAAATTAAGCAAAATTTGCTGCTTAATGTCATCAGTTTCCAACAGCATTATAGTTTAGAGTCATATTCAGGGTTTTAGAGAAAATCACAGGTAATGTTCGTACAGTATATCAAAGCAACTGTTCAAAGATAATTGGAGTAAGATCTTAATTATTTTCTTGAGAGAACTCAAATAGGAATTATTTTTTCCCGTTGGAAATAGTAAATAAAATCAAATTATTAAAAAAAAAACCCCACCAGATTTCATGAACATATGAAGTTCAGACACAAGAATTTGAGAGGTCATGATAAATTACAGAGAGAATGATCTGGGTAAACAAGATTCTGTACTTGCAGGTTGTTTTATGCATCACACCAAGTGTCTCGTGTACTAACAAGAAAAAGTACTCACAGGAGTATTCACACCAGAAGTGAGTTCTCAGCCTCTTTGAACAGTATTTTGGTCATTTGTACAATAGATGTCCGGTAGCTGCAAATGTTAGTGGATAATTTGTGAAGAGAGACTCATGTTTAAGAGCTTAGCTCATCCAATCAGGGAACAGAATACCACATCATCTAAGGCTATGGCTACACTGCAACTTAAGTTGACATAAATTATGTCGTTCAGGGCTGTGAATTAGCTCCCACTCCTTCCCGAGCGACATAACTTATGCAAACTTCAGCACTGGTGCGGACAGCACTATGTCAGGCCGACATAGCTACTGCCGCTCATGGGGGCTGGAGTAATTAAGCTGACGGGAGCGCTCTCTTCCATAGGCTTAGAGCAGGTAAACTAGAAAGCTTACAGCGGCGCAGCTGCATCAGTGCAGCGGTGCCACTGTAAGCCCTCTAGTATAGCCATAGCCTAAGTAACCAATAATACTACGCAATAGTAAATACTCAGTGATTTGTTATTTACAGGTTAAAGTGTGTTGTGAAAATTAATTGCAAAAAGACTTGTAAACATGCTTGCTGAAAAAGTACAAAGATGGAAAGGTGGAACTTTATAGGATAAATTAGTTGTAATGAATAATTCAGCCAGTTGGCATTGCAGGTTATATACTCTGTCTGGATTTAGCATGGTTCTATATTTGAGTAAGTGACAGCATAATTGCCATAGCGAAATAGGTGACATATTGAGAGCTGATGAATATTTCCCATAGGGACACTACCTGAGATTGTGTTCTGCACTGAGGCTAGGAAAAGTAGAAAATTCCGTTTATTTTTGATGTACCCCTTTGACTACTATTGTTGATTTTCATGACCACTGCTCAGTGCCATGTACCTTTTATGTATGTGTCACTCAGCAGTGTAAATTTAGCTATTGAGATACATCTCCCTTCCTTCCTTCCTTCTCTCAGGGAGTGTTACCATAGCATTTTCCTCCCAGTGACTAGCTCACAGAGCTGCAGATGGGACTGACTCTGAATTCTGTGCTGGTCGCTCCGATACGATGTAGTAGGAGAATGGGAAAGAGGGTAACAAAGCAGCATGGATAAAACTCCACTTGTTTTTCCAGCAAGAGAACACCTTCTGTCTGACATGGGTTCATCAATTTTTTTTTTAACATTGAGAACTGAATTTTGTATAAACAGAAGCAAATCTTGTGGGCTTTCTCATCTGTTTGCTTCTCCCAAGGAGATTCATACGAGATAGTGTCTGCCTGACACCAGCGTTCGCTTCTTTTCTCTTGTAGCTATGGACGTGGCTCGAGGAGTTACAAAAAGAGCTGCTTGATGATGTCTACGCAGAGTCTGTGGAGGCTGTACAAGACTTGATCAAACGCTTTGGCCAGCAGCAACAGACCACTTTACAGGTTACAGTCAATGTCATCAAGGAAGGGGAGGATCTTATACAGCAACTAAGGTAATCCTTTTTTTTTTTTTTTTTTTTTTTTTTTAGAGAAGTTGGTGTTAAATCTCTTCAACATTGTGTTTTAAAAGCATTGGGGATATTTCTCCTTAAGCCTCTTCCCGCATATACTTCCCCCATATAATGGATCATTACCCTCTTGATTTTTTTGTGGGGGGAAGGACGAGTATAAGAAGCTACCCTGCATGAATATAAATATTAGCAGTACTATTAGATGTGTTTCATTCTATGCAGATCTTATCTAACCCTTTGTTTACAGGAAGTTAGGCTCACAAACATTACCTTCGCATAAAGGAGAGTTAGCCTCCATAAATTATCTCTATGTGACATGAGTCAGCGGGGTATCAGTCAGAGGCATCCGTGTGGCATGACATGCTTAAGAATGACTGAACTCTGAGCAGCAGCCCTCTCTAAAGAGACTGCTTGTTTTAAACTGACACTTGAAGTTCTTTTGAATGTTAGCACGTGACATGATTGGTTTTTTCCCTGTAGAGGCAACATGAACGTGTGGTCCTATCCATTACTGGTAGCTTAAATAAATCCTTGGGCACTTTCTGTATTCTGCAGAAGTGGGTGTTACTTCATCTGTGGTGGTGGTGGTTTTTTTTTTTCTCTTTTTCTTTTTGGCTTTATGCTCAAGTAAAATTGAATCACGTAATTTAGCATACAACTAAGTAGGTAGTCATCATGTCTCATTTCCTCTTCAAAATGAAAAGTTTTACATGGGTTTAAATTTTACTCTTGACACAAATAGAATGTGGATTGAATACATGTATTAAACAAGAATATGCCTATATGTTGAACACTGAGGCAGAAAAAGAAAGTAATCTAGTATCCTGATGCTTTATTAAATTACTACAGCATAATTTTAATAATTTATCAAAGGACCTTATGTGCTGAAAGAAGGCCAGCTTCCTCCTAGTGTTGTTCATACTAATGGTTTTAGTTAAAGAGCTTTGTCATGCACGTTTAACAGTTGACTGTATGTAATCCAATTCCTGTTGCTTTTTTTCATAATACCCCTTTTCCTTCCTTTCCACTTTCAATAGGGATTCTGCCATTTCTAGTAACAAGACCCCTCACAACAGTTCCATCAATCACATAGAGACAGTACTGCAGCAGCTGGACGAGGCCCAGTCTCAGATGGAGGAGCTTTTTCAGGAACGCAAGATCAAGCTTGAACTCTTCCTGCAGCTACGCATATTTGAGAGAGATGCAATAGATGTGAGTCTCTGTTTTGTGCATAACATTCATTAAATTTGCTTTAGCCCTATGGGAAGATTTATACTAAAAAGGATATATTTTGACACACGAAAATGATGATTTCACTGGTTTAGTTGTTACCTGAATGGTCTGACGGATTTGCTTGCCTCCAAACTATGGGAGTGGCATGGCCTGAGTGTAGAACTGGAAGCTGAGGACTCCTTCATTCTAATCCAAGCTCTGATAAACACACTCTGTGGCCACTGGCAAATTACTTAATCTTGCTGCTACAGTTAATCCGTGTGTAAAATGGGGCGTTAAGCTATCAAATTGACTTTTTCACAGGGGTGTTGAGGATGAAATCACTGTAAAGAGCTTAAGTATGAAAAAACACTACATTAATGCTATTCAGTAGTAGTTATAACCGTCCTTTCTTCCTCTTCTGCACACCAGACTCTCAGTTGCAGATATATTAAACCTCAAGAGTGCTTCTGAATGGCTGTTTTTGCTGCTCTTGGAAAGCCATAGCTGCTGCAACTAAAACAAACAAAAAGTCCCCCGTTCCCCCCCCCCACACACACACACTTTTCCATAGCATTTAAAATAACAAAACCCACCCATTCAGTTTTACTGCAAAACCTGCCCAAACTTGCAAGCAGCTTGTGGACTGGCCAACACTTGGATGAAAATACTTGCTATTGGTGTGAACGCTTTTTGGCTATACGTACTTTAAGTAACTTTACGTATAAAATTAATCTACAGAAGAATCTAGATTCTCTGTATGTTAGTAAGATGGCCTTTCAAAGATGCTGTTGGGTTAGTCATGTATCCTTTAAAAAAAACAAAACAACCCAAGCTCTTAACTGCTGTTTGATACTATAAATGCACACAAAAATTCTCAGAAACTTAATGCAGAATTAAGGCTGACCAGTGGTGCCTGAATGTGGAGAGTGGCTACATTTAAACCTGTGAAAACAAAGAATTGAAGAGTTAAGGTTCATGCCAACCTCCACAATGCAACCTTAACTCTGTCGTATGGAGCTGACAATAGCCACGAGAAATGGCTAGAAAGGTGGTGCAAAGGTTAACAAACTACTGAGATGTGGTGGTTTCTCAGTCTCTTCATGTCTTCAAATCAAGAATCTTATTGAAAGATGCTTTAGTCAGACCAAAACTGTTAGGCCAAATGCAGGAGTAACTGGGTGAAATTCTCTGGCCTGCGTTATACTCTGTTGTTAATTATCTGTGTATCTACTATAAGGAGATATGAGGGAAAACTAAGAACATGCCATTGTTTGCATTGTGCTCCACACACCTGAATTCCAGTATTTATCTGCATGCATTCTAGCTACAGTCATTGTGCTAGGTGTTTCTGTTCTGAATGGTGGAGTGATTTGTTGGGGCAACTTGGCAGAACTGTGATGAGTAGAGAGGTGCTTGTGTACCTTGAGGAATCAAATATGCCTCATTTCAGCACTGAATTTGGTAGCATGTCAATAGAGGTGCACAAAGGTGTCTGTTTGACATAGGGACTGTCAGCGATTTGGTGACATACCTCACTGGTCTCAAGGGCTTACTGAGGGTTACGTGAAGGCAATGTCTCAGAAGGAATCTTCAGGGCAAGAGTGAAGGGTGGTTTATGTGGAGTAGGCTCAGTGTTTGCGTGTAGGCCAGGTACAGGTAGCTTCTATTTGCTACATCTGAATTAAACCTGAGTATTGCCTTAGCTAAGGAAAAGTGTTACACTTCATCCTAGAGTGCTAATGTGCACTGTTCCCAAAGTGTTGTGTAGTATCTATGAAGGCAGAGTATCCTCAGAGAGGAAACAGTCACAGTTGTGTTGCAAGAGTGCTGTGGACCTTAACTTTGTATTTGCTGGTTTTCACCAGGTTTAGCCACTCTCCACCTTCCGGAAGGGTACAAAGCACACCAGGCAGCCTTAACTTTCTGTTAATGACGTTTTCGGCATTTAATTACCTTTGTTTAAAAAAAAATTCACAGCACCTCTGTGACAGGGCATGCCTCACCACTGCGGCGCCTCCTGCTGGCTGTCTGGGGAATTAGCGCTGTCACCTCTATTCCTGAACCCCCGTCACTCCCAGGACCGCGGCGTCCTCATCAGTGACACTGCCCTCCAGCTGTGCCACACGTTCTATCCCCCCTTCTGGGGGAACCTGCAGTCTACTGTCCAGCCACTTCCTTCAGTGCAAACTGCAGTCCACGGTCTAGCCCCTTCCTTCAGTGGCTCCAGCACCCTGCTTGCCCTTGTGTCAGGGCCTTAGTCTGCAGATCCCTGCAGCCTACCAGGAGCTGCCTTTAGCTCCGTGGGTCTCTGCCTGCAGCACTGCTCTGCGCAGGGTGCTTGCTGCCCTCCTCCCTTCTCAAGCTCCACGGAGTGACTCTCACTGCTCTGTTCTGCTGCCCTTCTTATATGGGCCAGCCAGGCCCTGATTGGTTGCTCCTATAAGCCCTTCTGTGATTGGCTGCCTCCCAGCGCAGCCTCCCTAGGGCTGCTTTTAACCTCTTTTCTGCCAGTGTGGGCAGATGTCCCATCACAACCTCCTTTTACTATAGCCCAGCTCTCCCTCTCCACTGCCTCTGGCTCCTTAGCAATGATTACTCTGGCTACAGAAGGCACTGGCTGCATGTTGATCACTGCCCCCCTCATCATCTCGTCATCTCTCCTCTCTCCGCCTGGCCAGCACAGCCTGGTTCTCCCTTCTCCCCACAGAGAAACTGGCATCAGCATGGGACCTGCAGTTTGAGGAGAGGCTGCAGGGACTAGCATGGAGTTAGTGGGGAGTCTCCCTATGTCTGTTCCCCATCTATTTAAAAAACAAGTAGCACCGACCTGCCTTACAGGGGAGTTGTGAGGGTAAATACAATAAAGATTGTGAGGTGTTCAGATACTACAGTGATAGGGGGCCATGTCCGTTCCTATGATTGGATGGATGCATTGGCTGAAGCCCTGCAGCATCCCCACTTCACAGCTCTGACCCCTTCCTTTCCACCTGACACTGTTCCAACACTCCCTCTGCACTGCTCTGACCCACATGTTCCTTCCCCTGTGCTCAGACTTGCCTTCCACTGCTCCAGTTACTCCAGCATTTCCTCCATCACGCCCACTGCTCCAGCCCCCCCACCCCCACGTACCTGTTGTTTTGAGCTCCACTCTCTCACACCAGCTCCACCCCCATCCTTGCCACTCCATGCCCCCTGCAAAGTTGAAGGGGATGTGGGAAGGTGATGGGGCTGTGAGCTGCCTGAACCTGCTGGAGGCAGGAAGGGGCAGGAGAGTGGAAAATCAGAGTGTCTCCCCCCCCCCCCATCTAGGCCAAGTGTAGGGGATAGGACTCTGCACATCCATTTACAGCATAGGAGACATGTAGAAGTGGCCCATTAATGTCAGTGAGAAGTTCTCAGCAGAACGAGGGCACTCTACAGAGATGAATACAGTCTGAATCAATAGCTCTGAGTTACTACAGCATTCATCTAAGTGCCTGTTCTTTGCTATTATCTGGCTGCCCCCTCCTCCTTCCAGGATTGCTGCTCTTGCGGGCCAGCTCAGCTCCTCAGTTTCCATGCTTTGTGCCTGCTCCAAGCATGTCTCCTCTCAGTTCCCCATCCAGAGGGTCAGGGACCTCCAGATGTTAGCTCACAAAAGCAGCAGAGATTGGGGCTCAGAACCTTCCAGAGGGACAGGGCTCCCCAGATCCCATCTCACGCATGGGCATGGGCAAGGAGACTGGCTCAGAGTCCCCAAATCCTGGCTCACTCTCGGCACCCAGGTGTGTCCCTAAGAGATGGGGCTGTGAATGGGCTCATCCAGGGCCGGAGGAGCAGCGCAGAGGAGGGAAGGGAAGAATGTGAGGCAAACAGTGTTTGAAGGCTCCCTTAACCTAACAAAGGTGGCTGTCTAGAGTGTTCTCACTTCTCAGTAGCTGTGCCAAAGCTCCGCCCTACAGGGGAAGATTTGCAAAGGGACAGAGAACACACTCCCTCCACTACCCAACCCACCCCCTTGCTGCTCCAACCCCCCCCCGCCCCGCCTCATCTTCCTGCTTCTGCCCCACAAAAGTTTATATGAGTCTGAAAATGTTAGGAGCAGCTCATGTAAGGGGCAGGGGCTGTTAAAAGGAAACCCTTGACCAAACTGGCCAGTAACTTGTTCTTCTTTGATCATAGTCACTTCTGTTGCTTAGGAAACAGCTGAAGACCCTGATTGTCTAGGGTCTTTCATCTTCACTTGGTTTAATTCCTTGACAGCAATTCTTAAGTAAAATCAGACTTTGCATTTAGATTTTTAGAGCACGTTAAAGCAGAAATTTTGGTGTCAGGGCAAAACTCCCCAAAAGAGCCTTTGCTGGATGCAGGCAGAGAACAAGAAATATGCACAACACACACTCTGTGAACTCTGCCAAGGGTGGGGCTTGAACTCACAATGCATGGGAGTTGCTTAGGTTCAGTAAACATAACTTGTCACCTTGAGCCACCCAGTTGCTGTGACAACAGATGTCCTGGAAGCCCTTTTGCTGTTAACAAAGCCCTGGGCTTGCTGAACATATATGCTTGAATCTTTGTGCCAAGTTAGCACAAGCTGATTAGAAGTTCCTGACTCTAAAGTTAATAACTACTTCAATATTGCTTCCCCAGCAGGGTAGTGGGTGCTGTGCACTAACTGAGAGCAGTGCTGATTGACTGAGATCTAATTGGGAAGGATCAGAGCCATAGGTTAAGCCTTAGGTGTCTGCAAAATCATGCTAAAACACTAGGGCATGTCTTCACTGGCAACATTAAGCCATGACAGTGCTTCAACGTGGCTTGTGTAGTTGCGGCTTGTGTAGTCGCTCTAAAAAAACACCTCCACGAGGGGAATAGCTCCCAGCGCAGGTGCACTGTCTACACTGGCACTTTACAGCACTGAAACTTGCGGCGCTCGGGGGAGGTGTTTTTTCACACCCCTGAGCAAGAAAGTTGCAGCGCTGTAAAGTGCCAGTGTAGACAAGCCCTTAGATGACTTTCTAAAACGCTGCGGTAAGGGGAGGCTGTATCTTGGAAGTCTTTGCTCAAATGATCCCATATTTGGACCACTGATATTACCCAGCATCCACCATGAGGCACAACAAATTTCAAGCCAATCAGAGGTAGCATGAGGATTTTAAAGCGCTTAGAGTAGTCCGCTTTTAAACAGAAAGTAATGCTCAAACTTGACTGTCACTACGTTGGCACTCAGCTCTGTTAACCATTTGTGGTGTTTACTGTTTTACTTAGCTTTGATAGTGAAAATAAACTACTTGATTTCTCAAGCAATAGCACAATTCTGCAATATTTAAATCCATGGGTACTGTTATAGAATCATAGAAAAGTAGGGCTGGAAGAGACCTCAAGATGTTGTCAAGACCAGCCCCCTGCACTTAGACCATTCCTGACAGGTGTTTGTCCAATGGGGATTCCACAGTCTCCCTTGGAAGTTTATTCCAGATCTTAACTATCCTTATAGTTAGAAAGTTTCTCTTAATATCTAACTTAAACTCCCTTGCTGCAGATGAAGCCCAATACTACTTGTCCTACCTTCAGTGGACATGGAAAACAATTGATCACTGTCCTCTTTTTAGAACAGCCCTTAACATATTTGAAGACTATTATCAGACACGGCCCCAGTCTTCTTTTCTCAAGACTAAACATGCCCAGTTTTTTTAACCTTTCCACATACGTCAGGTTTTGTAAACCCTTTATCGTTGTTGTTGGCTCACTCTCGTCTGGACTGTCTCCCGTTTGATCATGTCTTTACTAAACGGTGGTGCCCAGAATTGGACACCGTATTCTAGCTGAGGCTTCACCAGTGCCGAGGAGAGCGGACGATTTACATCCCTTGTCTTATACAACAATCCAGTTAATACACCCTAAAATAATTGCCTTTTTTCCAACCGCATCACATTGTTCACTTATATTCATTTTGTGATCCACTATAACCCCCAGATCCTTGTCAACAGTACTACCACCTACCCACGTATTCCCTAGTTTGTATTTGTGCATTTGATTTTTTCTTTCTAAGTTAAGTACTTTGCACTTATCTTCACTGAATTTCATCTGGTTGAATTCAGACCAATTCTCCCAATTTTTCGAGGTCCTTTTGAATTCTAATCCTGACCTCTGAAGTGTTAACAACCCCTCCCATCGTCGTATCATGTGCAAATATTACAAGTATACCATCAACTCCATTATCCTTGTCATTAGTGAAAATGTTTAATAGTACCAGACACATGTTGGATCCCTGCAGGATGCCGCTAGATACACCCTCCCAGTTGGACAGCGAACCATTGATAACTACTCTTTGAGTATGGTCGTTCAACTAGTTGTGCATCCACCTTATAGTAATTTAATCTAGACTGGATTTCTCCAGTTTGTTTATAAGAATGTCATGTGGGACTGTGTCAAAAGCCACACTAAAATCAAATTTTATCACTCCAACTGCTTTTTCCCTAACCACCAGGCCAGTAACCCTGTCAAAGAAGGAAATTAGGTTGGTTTGCATCACTTGTTCTTGACAAATTTATGTTGGCTATTCGACCCTGTTATCCTGGAGGTACTTAAAAACTGATGGTTTAGTAATTTGTTCCAGAAACTCGACTCACCAAAGCCCTGGCTCACTGTCTGTGCTGCCATTTATACCTCTGCAAGCTCGGTGTGCAGTGTCTGCATGCCATCCTGAGAGTGAACATTCCCTAAGGGATCCAATATGGCATACCTCAAAACATGCCTACGTTACAGCTTTAAAATACTGTGTGTTTAAGTGGCTAATTTGCATGATGTCTAGTAAGCAAAATAACCAGAGGAAAAAATGCATCCAAGCACATAACCCTTCTACCCATTGCTTAAGCTGTGATCCTTTCTGATCAGCTTTTTTGTCCCACATGGCCAGATAAACCCAATGGGTACCATTAGTGCGTCAAGATTTTTGTGCAGCTTTCCTATGTTCTTGTAACTTTTCAATCCTGAGTAACCCCTTGGCAGATCAGTGTCAGAGCCCCTCACCGTGTTACAACCCCCTATAATAGTGCCAGTTTTTCCCATAGCCAGTTAGGCAGCAGCCCCAAGACCTGCATTCTTACTACCCAGCTTACACCGCCTACTGGTGTGTGACCAGTTGTACTGCATGAGCACCTCTTAGCTGGGCTATCTGGTTTTCAATGTTTTCTACCTCTCTCTCCTCACTGCTGTTGGTGCCCATCTATCTTGCTCCCAAAATCACAATGCCCTAGGAATGGGCTTGTCCCAACAAATTGGTTTGTATGATGATTCTTTTCCTATGCCAGTACCAATTTTCAGTGAAACATATGGGAGTCCAGAAAGGTTTTGTAGTAAAACATAGATAATAGGCCCCAGATCATTTGTTGTTTGAGATTTCTTTGTATGAAACAAGTTTGTTTGAGTCCACTGGCTGTTTATCTTTTTCTAACCTATCACAAGAAAGTAATCGAGTCTGATCAACAGTGAGGCTTGCAGATATTCTATTGGGATACTGTGCTAACTTTTGTATAAATTGCCTTTGTTTTTTTTAATTAACTGTTTGCAGTTTCTGATAGTTGTTTATGCCTTAGGCTTGGTCTACACCCAAAACTTAAGTCGACCTAGTTAAGCCAACCTACGCCATGGTGTAGACAGCGCTTTGTCAGTGGAAGAATTCTTCTGTCGAACTAGCTGCTTCCTCTTGAAGGAATGGGCTTACTACAGTGACGGGAAAAAAACCTTCTATCGCTGTAGTAAGTGTCTATGCTACAGCGGCATAGTTGCAGTGCTGCAGATGTGCTGCTCTAGTGCTTGTCATGTAAACATCCCCCCGATGGTATCAGCTACAAGAGTGCTGCTAATTTTCAAATTGACACATGGAAAAATACTCGCTTGGGAAGAAACAAAACGACTTTGCATTTGATTTGAAGTACTAAAATAGTGTTTGCTAAAATACCATGTAATTGATGTTGGAGCTGTGTCAAGAGATACGTAAACTAAGTTTGGGTACACTTAAAAGCAAGATTTCAGAATGTAAGATTGATTGGATAGGTTATATAATTACTGCACTTGAGTATTTCTTCATAAAATTCTCAATATACTACTGTAAGAGTTTTGTTAAGCAGTTAGCTGGTAATGGAACACACTCAAGAAAACCGACAGTTCCTGCTCACAAAGGTGTGGTGTTATTGGTTCATTTTATTAATGCACCTGAGTGATGTAGCTGAAGGCTAAATTGGCACACTATGCTGCTATATGACTGTTGTTTCTTACCACTCTTAGCGTAAGCAAATAGATTTTCTACCTGAGGTGTTATGCCAAAGTTTATTTCTTTTACCCATGGGTACAAACACGATAATTCTGCTGCCTACAAAGTGATGTGCTTGTAAATTGATATTAAAAGTGCATGCGCGCGCACACACACACACACATACGCACGCTCTGCTGTTGGCCTACAGAGCCAGCGCTAACCTCAAGGAGGAATTCCTTACCTGCCAAATTAGCCGAATTTTCTTGCCTGCATACATCACAAAACTAATAACTTCCAAAACTTGCTCAGACAGCCCAGTGTTTATACAAGTCAGTAATAGTTATGTTAGTCTGTAGCTTAGATGTTCTGCTGAATGGATATTATGAAGTTGTTAGCTGGGGAAAGAACAGATGGGGGAGGAAAGCATAGTTCTTCTAACTTTTTTTTGAATTCCTGATCATCTGATTCTCTAGTACAAATGGAACAAGTTGTAGTTATTAATCCCAATAAAATCCTCTCCTTTCTCTGTATCAGATAATTTCAGACCTTGAGTCGTGGAATGATGAGCTTTCTCAGCAGATGAACGACTTCGACACTGAAGATCTTACAATAGCAGAGCAGAGACTCCAGCACCATGCAGACAAAGCCCTGACCATGAATAACCTGACCTTTGATGTCATCCACCAAGGACAAGATCTGCTGCAGTATGTCAATGAAGTGCAGGCTTCTGGTAAGATGGATCTGTCCCATCTTATTCCGGTTAATATCTTTAGAGGGATTATCCAAACTGATACTAGCAGGGCATCTGAAAGTGGCATCGATCCCCATTAATCACAATCAAGAGGGGAGTGGACATGTATTTTGCTTCTTGAAAATAATTCCATAGCATTTAAATAAACTAGATGAAGCATGCTGAGCACTAATAAAGTAGATCCTACTAACAATTAAAATGCTCAGGTTTAAAGTGGGGGTGGGGGGAACTCTGTAGGAAGTGAAAGTAAATTGAAAGAGGAATAGAATTAATAGTACATGGAATTTATTTTGAGATCAGTCATGTCTGTAAATTATGCATTGACTTTACAAGTAAAAGCAATTCATATTTTAGTTTCTTAATCCTTTTCACTTGATTTTCTTTGCAATATCCTGCTGCATTTAATCCTTCACAAGATATCATTATAGACTTTAAGGATTTCTCCCAAGATAATGTTGAGCATCCACTTGCTCATTGTAAAACACCTGGAAATAATGTTTAAATTCCTTAATCAAATTCTTCGAGATTTAAGTATATTTTACTGAAATGAAAATGGTTGGTATATAATAACTATAATATGTAACTCCCCTGGAAATTAGATCCAGGTATGTTTCAAATTAATGGGTCTCCACAGGTGTGGAGCTGCTTTGTGACAGAGATGTAGATATGGCAACTCGTGTTCAGGATCTGCTGGAATTTCTTCATGAGAAACAACAGGAGCTGGACTCAGCAGCGGAACAGCATCGGAAACACTTAGAACAGTGTGTACAGCTGCGCCACCTGCAGGCTGAAGTCAAACAGGTATGAGCTAAATATGTTCTGTGCGTTGTGAGTAGGTGTGTGTATATGTTCCATATATAGACATATGTATGCAAATAAGATAGCTACGTTGTAAGAAAAAAGTGTTTTAACTTCTTATTCTTGCAGGTTTTTGGCCTAAGAATTAAGCATCTAGTACACTCGACTCTCAAAGCGGATAATACCAGTTTAATTGTTAACAACTACAGTTTGCTATGGGACAATGCTGTCTGAAGAGCAGTTAGACTGTTCAGTCCATTTTTATATCTTCCTTGTAGCAGACAGTAAAAAATCCTTTGAAATCTTCCCTGAGCTCTGCAGTGCGACTAGCTCGGGTGCCCTGCTTGCAGCACCTACCAGTAAGGAGGGATAATGCATAACAGCAGGGGACATCGGATTGGCTGAGCGAAGTGAGGCCTTTCACTCAACTTGATGGCGCATCTCTGTCTTTCATGGAATGCTGCGTGTAGACAAATCCAAAATTTCGGAGATGGTTTTAGGTATTGGTGGCCAGAACTCTATTGATTTTGGTGAAATTAGGAAAGCCAGAAGGGGGAAAAGGGGCACACAGAGCCCTTGCACCTGGTGAACAGAGCCAGCAGATTCAGCCAGCTGTAATTGTCCATAGTTCTAAGAGCTGGTTGATGACAGCCATGAACATCTTCTAGCTCCTATTAGCACCTTCCAGTGTAACGACAGTCCCCATCTGAGCTCTACCCATTGTCCAAATAGAGTTTAAAATGTTGGCACCCTGAATGACTTACTCCCAGACAGGAAGGCAATGGGGGGGCCTGGGTGATGGAAGACTGGGGAACCTGGGAATGGGGGGTGTGGGGGGTCGGCGCACAGAGCCCCTGGCATATAGAATAGGAGAGAGCGGGGGGCATAAAGAGCCCCTGGCATGGGGGAAGGGGTTGAGGTGGGTTGTAGGGAACCCTGAAGTAGAGGGGGAGGATGGAAGACCCTCCCCCCTCCCCCCAGGAACTTGTGAAAGGGAATGAAGGAGTGCAAGGAGCCCCTGATGGGCAAGGAGCTCAGCCTGCAGAAGCTGTGAAGTATGTGACCACCCTATTTTAATGTCACTTGAAGTATCTAAATCAGTCGGCAACCTTTCGGAAGTGGTGTGCCGAGTCTTCATTTATTCACTCTAATTTAAGGTTTTGCGTGCCGGTCATACATTTTAACGTTTTTAGAAGGTCTCTTTCCATACGTCTATAATATATAACTAAACTATTGTTGTATGTAAAGTAAATAAGGTTTTTAAAATGTTTAAGAAGCTTCATTTAAAATTACATTAAAATGCAGAGCCCCCCGGACCGGTGGCCAGGACCCGGGGAGTGTGAGTGCCACTGAAAATGAGCTCGCGAGCCGCCTTCGGCATGCGTGCCATAGGTTGCCTACCCCTGATCTAAATGTTTATAGTTGGCCAGTGTGCAGACTGATACACTCTAGGCCATGCTTGTTAGAATGATTACAGAGTGTAAACTACTATTTTAATGTAAGAGGAATGAGGTGGAAGAGATTTTACAGTGATTTAGCTTAGACAGCCTTCTGTTATTTAGTACATGCTGTCTTGTGAGGATGAAAGGAAAGTGCCAATTGGTTATGATGTCCAACCTGCACAATATACTCTTGATTGCAGAGATTCACTTACCAGCTGAGACGGGATCTTTTCTTTATGAAATGCTGATGGACTAGAATGGTATTATCAGCTGCATTACCCCTCCCTTTCCAGTGAGGTTGAAACAATCTCATTTTAGAATATAGGATGCAGTACTTGGTTCATATTCCATGGCATACTACATTTACGGTTTAATCACATACGTAATTCTTACTACAGCGTACACTGTCCTGTCACGTGCATTTGTGTATGAGAGCTGGGGGACCAGGGAGCGAGAGAGGAGGAGCAGTTGAAAATTGCATTGACATGTGTTGCTGATCACATGTCCTCAGCAGTTGACAGAGGTATACTGCTGACAAACGTCAGTGTCACGCTTAAGATGTGTTTTCAGGATTTATTCTGTAAACCTTGCGTGACTTTTCTTTTTTCTGAGTGATTAGTAATCCTAGCTAAAGTGGACATTGAAAGTTGACTATAAAACCAAAGTACTGAAAACATTTAACATAAGCCTCTTATATAGATGTTAATTGCTGAAATTGGACCCCTCTTCTTGAAGTAAGTTTGTGGGAATCTTTCAGCCGACTTAAAAGGCAGTTGGATCAGACTCTTTAGAACTAGAGCATATTTCGAGTGTTGTAAATAAAAAACACTTGCCAAGATAGTATTGTTCATACTGCCTAGTAACAAAACAGTAATATTCCCACCCAGGAGATAGGTTGTTTACAGGGCATCTTTCTGTGTTGTGGTTTTTTTTGTTTTTTTTTTTTGTCCCTTCAGATTTATGAATGTTCACATGAAAGTGTGCAACCTATAAAGAATATTTAGATTGTAAGTTTTTCAAGGCAAGTCTCTCTTATGGTTAGTATAGGTCATAACAGAAATCAGGGCCCCATTATGCTTGTCTCGAGGTGATACCTTAATATCAACAATTAAGAACCCATCTCTATCTGTCTAGAGTTTTATATTAACTCTAATACTGTCATTCTTGACCTGTCACATTTTTCAAAGGTGTTTGAATTTTCAAATAAGTTCATAAACTGTGTTTAATATAAATACTTATTTAAACACATAACTGAGAGGGTGCATGTATATGTTAAACACTTAATTTGTAAGTTTATCGCTCCTTATCCATATAATCTAAAAATGCTTCTCTCATCTTGAGACTGAAAAGTGTCTGAATCTAAAAACATGATCTGATACTTTGTATTTGTGTGGTCTCCTTAGAATTCTACTAACACCCTTTGAAGTGTTTTGGGACTAGTAACTTTTATTTCTTCTGATTTTTATTACCTTAATACAAATACATGAGTTTTTTGGGGGGGGGTTTAAGCCAGGAAGCAGGACCACTTGCTGTTTCCTCTGAACTGGAAAAAGCTTTGTAACCCAGCAGGTCACAGCCCGTGCACTATCTGAGAGTAACATGACGTAGTAAACCTCCTTTTCAGACTGTTCTGTTTGTATTTTGTTGCCAGAAGCCCTGAACACATGGTTTCCAGGGTTAAATTACTGTGATTTCCTGCCCAATTTACTGTTGTTGAACTGGGCATAAGCATCCATTACGACTGTCTCTCTCCAGAGCTAAGATTGTAACCAGCTTTTCAGTTTAGTCATCATTTTGACTCCCCAACTAACTGTCAAAACTGCTGCTACTGCTGACTTTTTTTCATGATTCATTTACGTATCGCAGTAGCGTGGCATGGTGCCCTGCAAAGAAAAAGGGGTCCATAGCTCAAGCTGTTTACCATCTAATGGAAACAAATAAGCTGTGCCTGTGCTGGGTTTAGTTGCCACAATTGTCCCTCAACTCCACCAGTGATAACAACAATGGTGGGAGCATTGTGAAGATGAGGCTCTTGCGGCTACTTATATTTTGATCGGAGTTGTCCATCCCTGCTCTGAGCACAACAAATGGACATGGTGATAAAAACACCTATGGCTGCTGGTGCCTATCACTGGTGCAGCTGTTTTTATTTCTGACAACAGTGGTAAAAATTTTTCCAAAAAAAAAAAAAAAAAAAAGATAAAACCACAAGCTAGAAAGATAATGGAAAATGAGGAGGTAGGGGAAGGGCTAAAAGAGGAACAGAGGCTTTAATACATCACATAAAAGATTTGCTTGCTAAATTAAGATGCTTAATAGAATTGGGTAGGGCAAGAGTAGATAGTAGCAGAGAGTGGTATAGAAGAAGGGGTTTGAGGTAGGACTTGAAGGGGACTGAGGATGCTTGGTGTGCAAGAAGAGAGATTGCTTCAGATGTAGGGACTAGTAGAGCTTGACTTGAACTCCAGAGTTGTGTGGTGTCTGGTTAGAAGAGAATTTTGGGGGGAAGTGAAAGGTAAACTGAATGCAACACACATCAGACATTGGCTTGAAAAATAAGGGTGGTGTGCTTGTTCCATAAGTAATCTAACAGTTTTTGCCTCATGAAACTCAATTTAACTTTTACAAAACTTGCTTGTTTCTCAGTGTCAACACTCGAGTCTTAATGCTATTTTCAGAAAGTTGATTGTTAAATTTTAACTGAGATTTAAAAAAAAAAATTGAAAATCTGTGTTCTGATGGTGTTTTGTTATATCCATTGACTTCCTGATATCTGTAGTGGGGCCACCAGAGATTATGGGGTTTAACATATGTCCCAATCATAGAAGTGGGCTTCTGCAGGGTTTGTGAGGCCCCCACTCAGCTCTGAGCCATTCAAAAGCTCCTGTGTTGACATTATACCATAGTAATACTTCACAAATATAGACTGAAATACATTCTAGCTCGAGAAACCAAGAACAAACACCAAAGTTTACCAGATGAATTCTTAAGACTTTAAAAAAAAACTTAAGGAAATAACTACATTTTTTTTATGTCCATTAAAGTAGCATAAACCAATAGATCGTAGGCCGGTGTAGTTAGTTATCCAGGTCAAATTTATAAAATGACAAGGAGTGGAATTGCACCTTAGCTCTGTTCCACTGCACCTTATGAGACCATCATATGCCTTCCTGTCATAGAAGATGAGAAATATTAATGAGGGAGAGAACAAGCTAGCAGTTTCCTTGAACTGGGGAAAGGAGAAACGATCTAATATGAAATGCAGCTGGAAGAAGCTTTGTGGATCTAAATTACCATCCTCCTTGTTTAGAAACTGTGATGTTGAGAACTGTTAATAATAGCTGAGAGGAGATGATGCGCATATGCAGTTAAACTTTGACAGTATGACCAACACAATTTCTTTGCTGTATTATGCTCTGCATGCTAACAGTTGCCCCATCTACATGAATAGATTCATCTTCCATGGCACTTAACTTGACAATACATCAGTACTAACTATCTGTCTTCGAAACCTATACAATTCTCACTCCAGTCTTCCTGGCAAGTTGATTTATGACAAATGTTGGGGAATTCACCACCATTTTAACTTCTCAAATATACATTAATTAGATTCTCTGTGGCTGCAGATATCATAAGCCCCATATACTCTTCCTATTAGGATAATACTTCTTGCTACATATACCCCACAGCTGCAGACTTGTTAAAATCTATAAGTGAACCCCCAAAATACCTTGATTTAAGATATTCCTGGCCAAACCTGCAAAAAGTGCAACACTAAAGGTCAGTTACTGGAGCTGTGAAGCTTGTTCTGAGTACAGATACCTTACAGTAGGGTAGGCAGGTTGGTGGGAGCATGAGAACAGAGTTGTAGTTGTTTGAGGTACCTTAACTCTGCATTTCTATGTTTTTCTACATTAACCCTTTTCACTTTGAGACTATATAGAATGTTTAATTTCTTTAACTTCCTTTCTGGTTTCCTGTCCCTGACATGCTTTCAGCGTATCATGACAACTCCACCTTTAAGTGATTAACTGTAGAATTAGGTATTGGCAGGTAGTCATATAAATATGGTGACATTTTTGACAGCGTGGGAGGGGGAAGTGACATATAATATAAACAGAACATAAGTTCGTATGCATGCATGTGTCAAGAGAGGTCTTACTGTTTGTAACTTCCTGAGCTGTCAGAGGGAGAACTAGGCTTGGTGCTGTTCCCCCTGCTGGAGGGGGAGATCCAACTCCGAGTTACTGTGGTTATGCAATACCCTAACCAGTTACTTGACTTGTTTGTGTTTTAAACCCGCTACTGATGTGTATGGGTGCTACCAATTTTGTATTGCACTGGGAACCAAATGGGATTCTATTCTTGTGAGTGTCAGACAGTGGGGTTCACACTTGGCGGGAGAGCAGAACTACTCACACATGAGCATTCAAAAGTCAGAAGGGAGAGAGTAGCCCAAAATATGCATTAACATTAGTCCCATAGATTGCCTCAATATGTTCTACTTACTGCTTCATTCCCCAGTAAAAGGCTTAATGGATGACTTAAGGGTAGCTCAAATCTGAGTTTATTGACAACCAAGAATTAAAAAAAAAAAAAAAAAAGTGGTCATTATCTTAGCATTTGTATGTGCATATAGTCATAAATGTACAGTTACTAAGCCTTATGCTCACAATTCAAATTCTTGATCTGAAACATGACAGCTAGACAGCTAAATTAATGTGTTAGCTGTTATAAATCGGATCTGTAATTTCACCTAGTGTTATTTTCCAGGCACTGGCAAGGGCATTATGTTGTGGAATAAGTCTTGTTTCCTTAAGTAGTATTAATTGCAAATAACTTACTTTTGTGTAATAATAGAAATGGAGCCTTTCTTGCTGATCAGAGGAGGACTTCTAAATTGTGCTGTCTTGTGTTCTGTTTCAGGTGCTGGGCTGGATCCGAAATGGGGAGTCTATGTTAAATGCAGGGCTTATCACGGCTAGCTCCCTGCAGGAGGCAGAACAGCTGCAAAGGGAACACGAGCAGTTCCAGCATGCTATAGAGGTATAAAAAGTGTGGTATTCATGCCATTCTCCAATAAGATGGGCTCTTATGATATAGTTCATGGCAATCATTATAAAGCAGGGGCGGGCAAACTTTTTGGCCTGAGGGACACATCGGGTTTCGGAAATTGTATGGAGGGCCAGTAAGGGGAGGCTGTGCCTCCCCAAACAGCCAGGTGCTGCCCGGCCCCCGCCCCCTTCTTGCCCCCTGACGCTGCCCCTGACCCCAGACCCATCTACCCCCCGCTCCCTGTCCCCTGACCGCCCCTGGAACCCCCATCCCTGACTGCCCCCCGCCGCCCCATCCAACCCCTCCTCTCATTCCTGACTGTCCCCCCTCCCCGGGACCCCTGCCCCATCCAACCACCCCTTCTCCCTGACCGCCCCCTGAACTCTTGCCCTGACTGCCCCCTGCTGCCCCATCCAA